TCTGGAGTGGAGACCTTTCCTCTGAGGCTGCTGCTTATAACGGGGCTTTCATTGAGATCCTGACCCTGAAGCGTCATTAAAACATGGCACATTCTTGACTTTCAAACAAACTGCTGGGAGGTGGCCAGCATGGAGCACAGAGCTGGGTTTTAGAGGGGCTGGAGCTGCAAAGTGATGTGCCACCCCTTTCATTAGCTGTTGCTGACTGTGAAAATGCCTTCCTGGATAGGAATTGCACATAAAGGTGAATTATACAGGCAGCTCTTTAAGGCTCTGCTAATAAACACATGAAAGGAACGGAGGGAAATATTTGAAAATGCTGTTACACTGAACTCCCTTTTAATGCCACCAGCTGGGGGGGAGTGAGTATTGTTCAGGACTGAGTTCTTCTCGTAATTAACGCGTGTATTCCGTAATTAAGCGCTGCTTCGATTTCGCCGCACAGGATGGCTCGGGTCGGTCCTGAACACGGCTGTGGGTGCTATGGGATGGCCGTGCTGATGTCTATAGGGCAGATGCCGTCGGAGGGCAGCAGATGGTGCTGTTCGTCTCCTTTTTGAGGACGAGGAACCCGCAGCCTCCGAGAGATGCTGGTCCAGGGGTTCCACATCTCAAATCGGGTTCCTGCGGTCTTTGCCACACCTTCGAGTGAAATAACCCGGCGTCCTTTCCTCCAATTTGTGCATTTTAGATGAGTTTTTGAGGCATTTTTTTTTTTTTCCCCCCTTCTAACCGTCGTCTTTTGTGTTTCTTTCTTTGAACAGCGCTGGAATCCTGTAACCACAGCACATCAAGATGATGGGAACTCAATTAAATTAAGGAGAAACACCAAGATTGTGAAACTTGGCGGTAGGACAAGAGCTGGTTGCAACACAGGCTGGACTTTAGGTTTGCTGGCAAATCAAATGCATCTGACACTGATGATTGGGATGCCAGGAACAGTTCCCTGACCACTCATCTACTCTGTGGGTCAGCAGGGCACGTTCTTGAGGGCTGATCCTCCTGGCCTGCACAAATCTGCATGTCCAATTTCCCGAATGGCAGAAAATTCTACATTAAGATGACATTTGTCAGCTTATTTTTTAGAAGAAATTAACTGGGTATTTGTGAGGCTTAGACTTACAGTATCGTAGTATCATTAAGGTTGGAAAAGACCACCGAGGCCAGCAAGTCCAACTGTCAACCCATCCCCACCATGCCCACTAACTACATCCCTGTGTGCCACAATCTACCTTCTCAGTGGCACCAGGGAGGGCAGAATTAGGCTCCTTTTGGATCCCACTTGTATCTATCTAGCTCCCTTACTGCAGAGACAGACCCAAGCCCAACCTTGGCAAACATTTCCTACCAGGACAGCCACCATTGTGCAGGTTGGATGATGAGACACCAGTGGGTGCAAGGAAACCCTAAAACCCACAGAGGCCAGGGCTGGCAATGCCCCACATCCCTAAATGCTGCTCAGCCCCTCTGCTGATGTCCTGCAGGAGAGCAGCAGCTGATGGTGCTAAAAATACCCCTGGGCAGGGAAGAAGTGGTTCAGCTCTGAGCTTCCCAGAAGAGTGCTGGTATTTCAGCCTTGTGACTCCAGCTTGGGACACCTGATGGGCAGCACGCGACTTTGCTCTGATTTCCCCATTTGGTAGGGAACAATCTCAGTAACGGATGGATAAGTCAGCAAACAGCATAGTTTGCTTTCTTATTTTAGGTCTCCCATAGACATAGACATGAATGATTCTGAAACATAGGCAGCATTTGGTCCTTCCCTGCTGTCACATTGTCCCCTTGATGGAAAAGCAAAGGAGATTCCTATATAAAACCCCTCCGTAGGTCTGAGGAGGCAGCAGTAAACGTGCGACCATTCGCGTGCCAAACATCCAACCACTCTGCAACCTCACTTTGCCCATTGCACCTGGGCCAAAATGAGAGGGATTCCCCAAATCTGCAAGCACACCCCCCCCAAAATACCCCAGACACCAGCTGAAAGCACCAGCTGTCACTGGAGTGCCCTGTTCCCAAACCAGATCCTGCTGGCACAACCCTCTGACACCTTCTACAGAAGAAAAAGTAAAACCAGGAACTTTTTGACTTCTTTTTTTTTTTTTTTTTTTTGCAGAAGTGTGACCTTTTGACCTGAATCACGATGAGTGGTTATGAGGAAGAGGCTGCTCTCACTTCTAAATTATTGCCATGCAATGAGCAGATTTCCATGGGGTGGCTGAAGTCGTGTCCTGAGATACGAGGGATACAAGCGTCCCATTCCTGCTCTACTTTGTACTACAAGACTGGTCTTAGAGGAGCTTATTCTCTTAAAATGTCCTGATTGGCTGAATAAAATACAGTTTCTGTTTTAATATGGTTGGATTGAGAAACATTGCAATAGAGGCACAAATGTGGGCTAGAACAAGTTTTACTGCAGACGCTTTATCTTCTGATAGTTTGTCCCAGTGCTGCATTCCTCATTCCTTGGGGTTTTGGTCCAGCTCAGATTGGAAGACAGTGAAGATCTTGGGAGATCTCCAATAACGTGGGGCAAAATTCACTGATAACAGAAATGCAATGGGTTTGGTTGATCTGTATAAACAAAAAAAACAAACACAGTCCATAGTGAGAATGTAGAGTAAGATTGAGAGGAAAAGCTGAGCCCTAAAAAGGAGGCTGGCCCGTGGTGTGTTCAGTAATTGCATTTATGAATAAACAATTAAGTATTACCAATGAATCTCTTGCATTTTATTGACCCAGGCACAGAAGCTGCTTTTTGGCACTGATGACTTGCTCGGTTCACGCTTGACAATGGGGAATTGTAGTGGCTGTTCCCTTAAGAAATCATCCAAGATTGGGACTTATTTGTGTGCCATTGCTTGCATCAATTAACAGCACAATCTTTTTGTTACGAAAACGCAAACATTAGTAGCCTAAGGAGCCTTGTAAATGCAAATATAAAACTTTAATTTCAGTAACTCCCACTTTCCCTTCAAGTACAATAAAGGCTTTTTTTTTTTTTTCATTTGCTGTTACGACCACAAGTCTTTATTATTGTTGTTATTATTATTATTATTATTCCTCTTTCTCTTCACTTTAAAATTGAGTTTAACCCAGAGGATTTCAATAGGGATCGTTTTCCATCAGCAGATCTGGGGTGGCTGCAGCCAGTGATGGGAGCTCTGAGCAACTTGGGGCAGGTTGCTGCCATCCATGGGGAGGGGAGCAGGGCTGGGCATTGGGGCCAATCCTTGGCAGGGCATAATTCCCACGTGAGGATTCTTTCCACTCACTCCAGGCAGCTGGAGAGCCTAAATTTGGCACCCATGTTTCTGCTGCAGGAATGAGAAGGAGAGAGAGACCTTGAGACGTGCCCTTGGCCACGGCCCCGTTTTGGTGACCATTGCCACAGGGAATGATTTGGAGTGAAAACTGATGGTTTTACTGTGAGGTGGTATGAAAGAGAGAGCTGCCTTCTCAAAAGCAATGTGAGAGATGGCACCTGATGGCACGATGATGAAAGAATTGGACAAAAACCCAAGGTCTGCTTTCCCCTTTCTATTTTACACCGCACATATACAAGTAAAATATTAGAACAGCCTCTTTGCTTTCTTCCTCCCCTGTTGGCCCAAATGTGCCCGGGAATGTGTCTAAACAGATTCCTGGAAAACCTGCCCTCAGCAAGGTGCAGTCTGCACTCCTCAGGTTCTCCAGCATGCAAAGGGGAGCTTTGTGGCCAAAGAAGAAGAGAAGAGGTCAGATGCTGACCTGAACGCATCCTTGGACACCCACAGGCTCTACAAACTGCCTCTGCATCCCTGCTTGGAGCTGCCAAAATGGCCAACCCACCTCCAGCTGAGGTTCATGGAAAACACATTGTTAGCATCCTTGGCAATTTCTAATTAGACCAAAGGGGCAATTAGCCAAGATATCATCCCTCACCTTGCTTCTAGCATTCTCATTAGCCTTGTTTCACAAAGGTGCTGCTGCTGCTGCTGCAGGGGGACGAGGCTGCTATAATTCAGTACTGGTACTCAGCCTTCACCATATCATCCACTGATGGTTGGATTAGACAGACTTTAGCAGCTTTTTTCCAACCTTAATGGTTCCATGATCCTTCAGCCCCACGGGCCTTGTGATGGGCATTGGGGTCCCTGGTGCTGCATCCCCTGCAAAAGGATCTCAGCACACACGGAGCAGAGCTGAAGGACGGGGGGGAAAGCAAGAAAAAGAAGGAAAAAAAAAAAGTTATTTACCACCACTTTGCGCCATAATCACCTTTTGAGTCCTCCCTTGCAGAGCTGGTTGTTTTTCCTTCCCCCTCTACCTCCTATTGCACTTTTCTGCCTTATGAACGCTAGAGGCTCCCTCCATCCTTCGGCTCCGCGAAAAACTTTTTGTTCCTGACTCTCTCTCTCTCTCTTTTATTTTTTCTAAAACTTCCCTCAGGAAAAAAATGTGGACTTAATTATCTATGTAAAATGTCAGATGTAGGGAAGCAGGAAAGGGGCCGTGCTTACTTGGATATCCCATCCGAGGCGAAGTGACTGGGTTTTGTTGGGTTGGTTGTTTTTTTTTTTTTTTTTCCCATTTTTTTCCTCTTTTTTTTTTTTTTTTTTTTTTTTTTTTAAGGGGTGGAAAGGACTTCGCGAAATAAAAGTGCAGCACCAAAGCCGGTGGTTCCCAGAGCGGCCGGGGCGGGCGCGGCGGGAGCCCCCAACGCAGCGCAGTGCGGAGCCCACCTGCCCCCGGCAGCGCGCAGCGCTCCGCACCTTTTACCTCCGCGTAACCCATCCGCGCTCCTCTCTATTTTTATCCCTCCCCTCGACTTTTCCTCCAGGACTTTTTCCACCGCCTTGGGACACCCGCAAAATCTCCCCCCTTCCCCGCTCCTGGTTGTTGTTTTCT